TTACCAGTGACAGGTTCAAATTAAAAATTGAGGTTTGGGGTTATAGAGTTTATAATATCACCATAATCATGATCATTTACCAGAAACTGAAATCTGTAATGTGCAAGATCTTTTCACGCTTATGGCTAGTAGTTTAGCAATGTCATCCTAGTTGAATATTGGAGTCATCCTTCTGCGTGTATGTGTCTCAAGAGACCGACTCTTTATGACTCACTTTCTGGAATGGCCGATATTGCTCTTTGTCATCCAGGGAGACATTAAATGTGGTATTTGCTCATTTACGTTCTGTTCGCTTTTTATTCCCGGCCATTAAACTGTCATATTTTGAGAAAACGCTGCAATTATCTCTTTTAATCTCTTTAATGTTTGTCTGCCACACTGTGATGGACCCCATCAGTAGATAATAGCTCCAGCTATAAGATCTGTTTCTGTTGTTGATCCCACGTGATCCCACTCTTTTGGGAGATGCCCACAATATGTACTGCACTTAGCCCCATAAAACGTATCGTATTATATTGCTAAGGTACATTATCAAAACTATAAGAAAAAAAATTATACTACTGTTAAATATAAAGGTGGTTATCCTTCTCTATCAATAAACACTGACTATGTTAACTTGGACATCAGTAATCAAATTATTTGTCTAAATCTGAATAAGACAATAATATGATTAATTTTTTACATGAGTTGCTTTTTAAATGTTTCTTTCAAGAGTTCACACTTAGCTCATGATTTATACATAGCTTGTTTGGCATGCTGTCCCGGGAGAGAGCCCTGAGCTCAAGGGATCCTCGAGTCCAGGGCTCCCCCCCTTTTGCAGGGTGAGTGGAGATTGAGCTCAGGTCTATCTCAAACTCCCCCGCTGCTGAGGCCAAGGCGAACTTCCTGAGAGTAAGACATTATAAAAAAAAAAGGTTTAGGCTTGTTTTATCTATAATATAGAGCACATTTGGATGGTGGGAGGAAACCGGGGAACCCGGGGGAAACCCACGCGGACACGGGGAGAACATGCAAACTCCACACAGAAATACCAGATTGCTCAGCAAGGACCCAACACCATTGGTATTTTTGCTGTGAGGCAACAGTGCTAGTCACTGGGCCACCGTGCCACCCATTCTGGATAAAGGAGGAAGAAGGGGAGGAGGGGGGTTTCTTCCAGACGAAGATAGTTGTAGAAAGGAAATGAGGATATATATAGTGATTTGGGATCCTTTGATTGGAGGATCATAATAAGTTAATGTGGACCAGCTGGGTAAATCATGAGCACATGCTCCTCTCGAAATTAGTTTAAAACTAAACTTCACTTATTGATCCCGTTTTACATGTTTTAGTGCTTAGTTCGATTATCCTGTTTTTTTTTTCTAGAGCAAACACCCAAATATACTGAATTGCAATTGTTACAATCAAATGGCTGGGCCTTGGCTGAGTTAGTAGTGCTATATAGACACATTTCTTCTCCTTTGCTTTACAGCAGGTGTGCCCAAACTAGGGCTGCGTCCGAAACTGCCTACTACTCAGTAGGTACTGCATTTGAATTTAACCGTACTACTCGGTCGTTAGAAAAGAACGTTCTATACAGTATGAATGTGAAAAGTATGAATGGAATTCGGACGTACTACATTCGCCATTTTGTCATGGTCACGTGACCTTCCTGCGTCAGTGGCGTCGCTTTACTTCCATTCATAAATTTGCTCGCGGGGAATCATGGGATAGCGCAGCAGTTTAGTTTAGCATAGTTTAGTTCCAACCCCAATCAAACACACCTGGGCTAGCTAATCAAACTCTAAACAGGCTTTCTAGAAACATCCTTGCAGGTGTGTTCAGGCAAGTTGGAACTAAAATCTACAGGACACCAGCTCTCCAGGACCAAGTTTGAACATTATAGAAAAAGAAACATCTTGTGAACTTGTTTGTTTTTGTGTGTTTTTAGCATAACTTTGTGTGTATTTTAAAGAAGTTATTAAAGAGAACTTAGTTTTTTTCTCAATATGCGTTCTTCAGCGATCTCGCGTCCTTGTATTATCATTTAACATCATCATCGACTGCCAAAGTTCAGTTACAAAACTCTAGAGCGCAAGAACGGAGGACGCGTAAAAGTTCCAGGATGCTTTTTTTAATATCAAGGATGCATCAATGCGGACTTGAGCACAAAACTCGCTCGAGAAGTCCCAGACGTCATTGTGGCTAAATACAGGAGGTGGGAAGTGCAGCATTTTATATAAATTTATTATTAAAGTTCAGAAATATAATTTATTTATGTATAAACAATATTACGTTTCAAAATGTCTTTATTTTTCACCAACTGCATCAAATTGCATATTTCAACTCAGAAAAACAGGCATTTTCTCTCTATTCTCCATATTTTACTAAGTTTTTACAGACTATTTGCCACAGGGTTAAAAATCAACACATATAGTTTAATATGAACTCCAGCTGACTTTGTACCACAAACCTCGATGGCAAATTTTTTATTGAAGTTTTTGTGCTTTCCATCATATCTCTCTGGTTTTCTGGTCGCTCTGTGACTGAAGCTGTAGTTCTCAAGGCAGGAGATGTATTAATGTAATTAGAGGCAGTGCGCCGTAAGCAGGGACAGCCTCAATCTCTGCTGTCGATCGATCCTCAGTCGCTGCGACATGCCGACTGCATTTCCTTGGGGATTTGTGCAGTAGGCCATCTCTGAATGCTAATGCTTCTGTGATAAGCCTTGCAGCCTCCCGCTCAATGAGTTTGTGTCGTGTGCTGAATGGCCTTTCATCAATTGTTAAAAGAGGTGTGCGTTAATGGCACCAAAAGGAATTATAAAAACAATGACTATTTTAAGTTTTCTAAACGCAGGTCAGATGAATAGAAAGTTTCTGGAACAATGAGAGCAAGGTTTTGGTAATGGCACTAAGCTGATGTTTACTTGAAACTAACAAGTAGCTGTTATTTATTCTAATGCAAAAAAAAATATAAAAAAATTTGACATTGGTTTAAGTGAAAATGCCACATGGATTTCAATCTTCTATCAGATTTGTCGAACTGTGGAATTAATGCAAATGATACAGACTCATGTCTCCTGAAACTAGACCCCATTCGTCCCTCAGTAACTGTCATTATGTAAATAAAATAGATGGTTTAAAAGAAAAAAAGAAAAAAAAACATGAGAGGCATTCAGTCGTGCAGGCATTCTGTCATTTTAAAAAATAATGTACTCCATTGAAAGTCTTCAGATGAAGGACAGGTTACATTTGAATTTATTCTCACCTATAGTGAATGAAAAAAAGTGTATGTGTGTGTGTGTGTGTGTACTGTATGTTCAGGTTTTTGTAAGTGCTTTTTGAATGAAGTCCTTATTTTTGCTAAATCTGCTCTTATTTAATCTAAAAAAACGACACAATTTTTATCAGAAATATAATTTTTAATTATAAAATATAATATAGTATTACAATATTTAGTTTGAACATATTTTAAAAACTGAAGTGCAGTAAATGATGCAATTGTTTGTTCTATGAACCAGTCAAGCTAAAATTAAGAAATAATAGATTTAAAAATAAATAATAATCACCCAAAACATCTAAACACTAATATACTTTATACAGAATATGCAATGGATCTGTTGTCTGCAGTAATTTACACAATTTATTCCTTCTTCCAGCTCTGCTCGCCACCTATTACAGTAATTTAATTTAAATTATCGTTATTGTAGAGTGCATAGTGCAGCACATAATGCTATGTAAAATGAGCAAATATTTTCTAACAAAGATTAATGAAGGTGTTACACGTTGCAAGACTTGAGGAAAATAGAGATAATGCACAGAAAAAAAATTCTGGCCTTAGTTCTGTGTAGAACAGACTGTGACTACCTAAATGCCAGGCACCACAGAGAGTGAAACGTAAACGAGTTCAACATCCATGTCATACAAACTTTTGTTTTTCCGGCAGTGATCATACTGGTAAATGTCATGATTTTTCATGTGATCAGTCATTTTCATCATTCATCTGGTCAATCTTTATGTGTATGAAAGCCTGTATCCTCCATTGAATAAAAAATGTCAAATTTATGGCCACGTTTTTTTCTCAGAATTGCATGATACAAACTCGCAATTCTGAGCTCAGGATGCTCAGGATCTTTGTAACTTAGAATCACAACTTTATATCTCTGAATGTTTTTATTTAATTTAATTTAATTTAATTTAATTTTTTTTATATTTATTTATTGAGCAGTACATTGCCCCTCTTCTACCACAACCACAGCATTGAAAAAAACAATATATAGCTGCAAATATACACATATATACATACATACACACTGTATATATGCACTTTACAAAGTAACAAAAGAAAACAAAATAATAATAATAATAATAAAATAATAAAACATATGTCACTGTCTCACATTTTTTAGTCAATATGTTATCATTTATCATTTATATATATATATATATATATATATATATATATATATATATATATATATATATATATATATATATATATATATATATATATATATTTACATCTACACCTAAATAAACAAATGAAATTAAATATGGAAAATAGATATGAGGGGAAAAAATAGAAGAGTTTTGAGTCTGCTGAATTTTGAGTTTTTAACTCAGAATTGCAACTCTATATCTCAGAATTTTTGTGATATAAAGTAAAAATTCTGAGATATAAAGTTGCAATTCTGAGTTATGGAATTAAAAGTCGTAACAGCCTTTTTTATTTTTATCTAGAGGCAAGGAATGGGCTTCCATACTATGTGTGTGTTTGAATGTAAATATGCTGTGTTCCATTACAGTGGATGTTTATTATGTTTCTGTTGACTGTCATTTTGAACTTGTGTTTGTCTTCATGGCATCTGTGGGCTCAGCGGTGCCCATCATGTTATGCTGTATCCCTTAATAAAAACTAGGCCAGTTCATGCATCTTCAATCCACTCTGATCTGTATCTCTCTTTCTGTTTTCCTCTCCGTCAATCTCCCTCTCTTCCCTCCTTTCTCTCTTTTTCACAGGCAAGTCCTGCTCCAATTATTGTCAACACGGACACTTTGGAATCTGTACCATACGTGAGTTTCATTTAATTTTTAATTTTTTGTCATTCATTTATTGCATGTTTATGACATTGTGTGCAGCCGCGACATTGCATATCACCAACTTGATGAGTTCAATGCCCACACAGAGTGAGTGGTGAATGAGCTTGACATCTTTTTTATTTATTTTCATGAATTTACTGTCAGTTATCACTCTCCATGCTTCTCAAATAAGATCAACATGTTCAATGATTGATGGCTTTTCATAAATAAAGCAGATAAAGAGGCCAGTGATTAGCTGTGGGTTTAGATCAGCGCAGGCTTTTCTTTTTGTGGGTTTGAAATATTAATGTTCAGAGTCAACTGTGTTTATGGTGGGATGGATGAGAGAGGTTTTTGATGATTGCTTTGAAACGGGTCGCGGAACAAATAGAAAAGTGCTTGTCAACCAGGAGGTCTGGTTCTGGAGGACCCTCGGTGATCAATTTCAAGCCTAAAAATATGAAACAATCAACATCTATTATGATGTATCTTTTTGGAAGGGATATTAAAGGGATAGTTCACCCAAAAATTAACATTCTGCCGTCATTTACTTCACTGGAACTATTTCTGTTGAACACAAAAGAAGATATTTTGTAAAATGCAGGAAGATGGAACCCAATATTACTTTTTCTTACTTTGAAAGACAATGGGCGCCAGCAAAAATGAGTTATTTTTATTCATGAACTATCTCTTTACCAAACATCCAAAACAAGCTCTGTGCTGGCTTTAAGCGCTTGTTGTGTGTCTATATGCGATGGTTCTCATGTGAGGACTCTTAAAGAGCTTATAAATGTGTAAAGGAGTCAAAAGAGGGCTTGCAATTCTTCAGTCACACACACAAAAATGCAGATTAATTTCAGGGCTGTTTACAGCTGGTCACTTTATGCATTTTTCTGATTTGATAGCTATTCAATTGTGAAATGTCAGGTTTATCAGGAGACTGATACAAATATAAATTACTCAAACCACTTTAGGAGGTCTGGGACCCATTTATATAAAAAATAATAATAAAAATATATAATATAATATAATATAATATAATATAATATAATATAATATAATATAATGTAATGTAATGTAATGTAATGTAATGTTATAGAATAGAATACAATACAATAGAAAAATATAACATTGTTTTGTTTTTGAAAGACAAGGTTATACACAAATGAATGTAAATCCTGAATAATGAACACCATGGTGAAGTAAGCGTCCTGTCGCGAAATGTATGTTATAATAGTATGTTATAATATGTAATAATAACTGTGTGCTCAATAATATATGTAGCTTACATTTCTGTAAAAAATAATAATTATTAAATTAAATATAGTGTATCTGATGACTTAACCTTGGTACATTGCATATAGCGTGGGACTTGACGATCTATTTATATTCTTTGACAGAATTCATATCATTTATGTGGTCTAATGTGAATGGAATGGTTAATTTCCAAAAGACCCTTTTCACATTTCCAGGAAAAACTTAGAGCGCAGTAAATGGGAGAATACAACAAATATTTATTTTACAATCTTATTTGCTCAAATAATAAAAGAAAAACTCCACAATGATGTTAAAAAGACTTTCAGCAAAAGAAAAATAATTGTATGAGACTGATGAGAGAAAAACCAGAGGAGAGAAAAACATTAAATTTACTGTTCTATCTCATAGATGCTGCATTAGAAACACCTCCCTCAAGCGGTAATTCGCTTTTTGCAATTTAAACAAAGATAATATAATACATACATAAATACATATGAATGTTCATGAGTTTTTAAAAAAATCTAAATATTAAACCTAAATATTAAACATTTTTAAGGATTTAAGATGCTGGTGTTCGTTAAACACATCAAAACAGGCATGTGAAAAGGGTCCATAAGCGAAAATGCCATAAGTGACCAGGTGTAAACTGGGCCTTCAATGTTTTTAATTCATATTGTATTTATATTTTAGCTAACCTGCTGCAGAGTTTATTTGAAAGCAGATTGAGATTTTGGTGCAGATTAAATTGTACTGTAGTCTATTGTATTTCTGCTTGTTTGGTGTGCACCAATGTTTGATTGGCAGCATTTTCACTTATTCAAATGAAGTGCACTAACAGAGACATCTCACCTGAGTTTCTTTCAACCAAAACAAACCTGACAACTGTGAACACGTCTTAAGAAACCCAGTCTGTGGGATCTGTTTGAAATTCCCTACTTAATCTATAATCAAACACTCAAATCCAATAATAAATGGCACTGAAAAATGGGCTTACACATGATGTGCTGGCCTTGAGTTATTATCAATGTACATTAAACTTCAGCCTTATTAAATTGATATAGGATTTGTTTTATCAAGTACAGTAAGTTTCAGTCCTAGTATTTCCCCTTTAAACTGGTATAAAAGTCCATATGGTTTTATCCTTTATAAACTGTAATTATAAAAAGTCTACAAAAAAGCTTAATTTTATACAACTTTGCAAAATAAAACTTCAGTAGACATTTTTTCTATTAAACATTTTTCTATAGCCTCCTTAAAAAAAGCTTATACTATGAAAAATCAAGATTACTGTCTTTATAGATGAAGTGTATTGAAGTGAGTTGTATTAAATGAGAGTATAAAGTTAAATCAAATCATTTAAAGTCCAGGGAGTTTGCTAAAGACCCAGTTGTTGTTTTTTTAACTGGTGTAATTATTGTGTTGTAGTTGTTTCTCCTTAGTAGGTAGTTAGGTAAATTAATCTAGTTCTTCATTCACCCTTCTGAATGTTATTGCATTAAAAAGGAGTTATGACAAGTCAAGACACTTTAATTTTGCTTTCTTGCAGTATTTATTAAATATACTGTAAGTTAAACTGTCGATGAGGTCTTTAAATGTGTATAAAAAGTCTAAAAAGGGCCTAAACGGTATTGAATTCCACTCTCTAAATTTCTGTTTAAAGCCTGCTATATAAAGCATTCCAAATCAGTCAGTTGTATGTTTCAGTAAGTATTCAGATAACGTGGTTTCCTTTTGTATGTGAGTGCTAAACGGGTAGAAAATTGGAGGAGAAACATGATGAATTGAGCTCATAATAGGACTGAATAGAAGAGAGCAGTGTTGAATCAGACACTAACACAGAGCGAGTAGCACTCGGCATGAAGCACAAAGAGTTTACACACATACACAAACACACTAATAGCACAGCTTGACCTTCAGTCAGCGGAGACAGGTTTTGTCTGTCTCCTGCAAACTCCTAACTAATCAGCTGTGTTTCTTCCTGTTACTGCAGTGAGGTCATTTGACCTAGTGCAGAAGTGGCCCTGCATTTGTAAACACCTCTAAAACACTTGTTTGTAAACTTGTTCAGCCAATTGATGCTTTTCATAAGATGGTGATGATGCATTTGATGCTCATCAGCTTCCAAAATCCTCAAAATGTTTAATTTTTAAAAATGTACACTCAATAATAAAAAAAGACTTTTGCTGCTTGTTCAAACTACTTATTTCAAATGAACTAAAACAGCATAATTTTTTATGATTTTGGGGGGTAACTTAAAGGGCCATGAAACCCCCTCGTTTCAGCAGTGTTTTCACACCTCTACTTTGGAAAAAGTCAGAAAAGTGGGCGTGTCCAGCTCTGTTTAGGGGGGAGTGTCGGAGGAAGAAAAGCGGCTTGGTATGGGAGTGTCTATTTGGGCGCGCTGAATTTCAGAGTCAAAACACACACCCACAGCTGACAATGTGACTGTGTTTACATGGACATCTGTAGTCGAATTATTTGCCAAATTATTAAATGGTGGAGTTTAACTGCAGTTTGGCTCTTTCATTCAGGGAATTCATTAATGTCCCTCCCGACAAACGTGATATTTGATTCGAGGATCTGCTCTAAGCGTGTATTTTTCATGCAATGTTTGATACCGCACGGCGAATGAGAGAAAAAAAAAACTCAGCATTTCCCTGAGAACTTAGATACACACGGCAGGTAGCGTCAGAAAGCCGCATTTGTTATTCCGGTCACAAAATCCAACACGAGGTTATAGTTTGGTTGTAACTGTTAGTGCTAACTATTGCACTCGGTGCAATAGTTTGTTTGATACGAATAAAATACGAACTGAATAAACAAAGAGCACTGCTCGCTCACTTACCAAATCTGTAGAGACAGGACAATCACCAGCAACTAGAGCCGCGTCTTTATTTAGAGGAGACTACAATCTGGATCTCAGCGTTTGCAGATGAGAACAGCTCTCAGGTAAACAATAATCCTCCTTAGACACGTAAGTTATTGTTTTCGCGCGTCGCGTACACTGTTAATCCACGCGTGAGTCTGCGCTCTCACAGAGAGAAAATGAAAACGAAACTTAACTGCAGCAAACTATAAAAGCAACACTTCACGCTTGTTTTGCCAACACAACGTGGCGTCTTTGCCGTCTACACTGTGACAGTAATGAATATTAATGAAGTTGCACAATAGAGCGCGTTGATTGGTTTGAACCAAGCCTTACTCATGCATTAATGCAACACACTGTAAGACGTAATAAGACTCACTCTGACACAGACGACCAGTCTGCACGCTGGAATACAGGCTATTATGTCATGACCGTGACGCAGCTTCAAAAATTTGTTTCAAACCGGAAGTACGAATTTGCTTGAAATAACGCAAGAACAACCAGTTTACACTTTTTAGAGAAATACAGGTGTCCTAATAGTGTTTTTAGCAGTGTGGGACACATATACGACTGTCAACAGCTCAAACAATGTGTTTTGGTGTTTCGTGACCCTTTAATTGTTTTATGTTCAATTTGTAAAAACTATGAAGTTAACTTAAAGGGCCACGAAACTATTCAATTCAATTCAATTCTTAAATTGAACTTAAAGGGCCACGAAACTACCCTTTTAGCAGGGTGTTTTAACAGCTCTAGTTTGAAAAAAGTCAGGAAAGTGGGTGAGCCAGCTCTGTTTAGGTGGGAGTGTCGGTAGATAGATAGATAGATAGATAGATAGATAGATAGATAGATAGATAGATAGATAGATAGATAA